TATCAACTTAAATCTTAGAATTTTAAGGATTGCATTCAAGACCTTAATGTTTTGCTATACCTATTTACCTTATTAACCAAAGGATAGAAGTGATGCTATAGGAACAAGGGGGCTTGGCCCTCCCAAAATTTTTGTAATCCTTCATATATATATATATATATAATCTATTTAAATTGACTTTAAAATTAAATTTTTAATTTATTTTTTTGGTTTTATTACTTAATCTTATATATTAACAATTTAAGAGATGTTCAAAATCTCATTTATTATACCCATATTCATTATTTAAGATTTCTTAAAACTAATAGGTTTATCAGGAATTTTTAAATCATAATTCTATGAGCTTAATAAAATTTAAATTATTTTTTATTTCCAATAAGTGCCAAATGTATATTTTGTCTTTTTTTGATACAAGAGACCGAAGCCTAAGGGCATTTGAAAAAGATAAATTGCAAATTTTAAAAATTGAACTTTAATTTGACATGAATCCATCGTACGACAAGTTTGGAAAAGACGGCATCACGCCTGTAAAAAAAAAAAAAACATGTATCTTTCTTTTTTTTTATTAAACCCTACAATATCTTTTTTTTTTTAGCTTATTTCAACTTTTCCGTATCATTTTTCACTTTTATTTTTATTTTAGATTTTTATGTTGTTGTATTTTTTTAACAAATAATCATATTGGATTTACTTTAGGAAAACAAGAAATGTACCGTAATTTTTTAATTTCAAATTTTTGTTACATTCTTTAAAAATACTTTTAATTTATTTGTTTTGACAAAATATTAATAATTAATTTATTCATGCATCTTTTTTATTTTAATTTTTAATTACAAAAAAATCTAAAAAATTGTATAATTCATTGATAAAATTTTGTAATTTAGTAATTCTACCTTTAATTGTAAATCTTATTATTGTTAAAAAATATAATGTTGTCATAATAAATATTTTATTTTATAATTTATGAACTCATCTTTTTATTAGTAATATTATTTTCAAATATATTTATAAATATATGCCAAAATATTTCTTTTGAAAAAAATAAAATAAAGTAATTTACTTGACTCTAAACTTAAATGTCAAGATGCAAAAGGATATATATCCTAAAATATTAACACTTTAAATTGTGTGGGAAAAGGATTGTGGAATTTTTGACGAGTGGGAGTTGTGGAAACAAATGCATGAGGGAAGACACGATTGCAATATTTATTTGATTTTTTTTCTTTATTAATCATTTGTTCTGAGAAAATTTTTGGACTGCTTATAAATTATAATTGTACACTTATAAATAATTACCTTTAATTTATGTTCTCTTCCTGATTTGAAATATTTATGTTATTACAATTTGTATAGTGTGAATTGTGCTAATTAAAATATTAAATTAATTATTTTGAAATGAGTGTAAGTAAATACACGAAGTTTTATTGGCATTAATTCAGGGGGTGAGTTCCTGGAGGAAGCTACGCACAAACTTGTTTTTGAGTAAATTATGAAGGAGTTTCCTTTGAGTAAATTTTGGTGTGTTCAAAGTCATCATCTCGAGTCATAAAAAAGTTTGAAAAGGATGGCATCATGTCTGTGGAAATAAATATGGCTGAGACAAAAGGACTTGACTTTTGGAATCCCACTTTAGTAACAAGAAAGAAAATATCCGGAGCAGAGGGTAAACGTGTGGAAGAAGGTTCTATTACTGTATATTTTGATTACCCGGTACTATTGAATTTGAGGCATCGAAATATTTATGTTTTTACAATTTGTATTGTGTGAATTGTGCAAATTAAAATTTTAAATTAATTATTTTCAAATGAATTTAGGTAAATACATGAAGTTTTATTGACATGAATTCAGGGGTGAGTTCCACTAGGAACCTATAACTATGTGGGAATTATGTAGGAGTTTTCTTTGAAAATTCAAAATAATAATAAAAAAAAAAAAAACAGAGTTGCATTTGAATTGCTGGGCTAGCTTGACTTATTAATCACGCAAACTTGGTATGTTCAAAGTCATCATCTCCAGTCAATAATAATGTAGAAATGTTGAAAAAGATGGCATCATTTTTGTGGAAATAACTATGCTAGACACGAAAGGACGACTTTTGGAATTCCACTACACTAAGAAGAAAGAAAATATCCGAAGCAAAGGGTAAACGTGTGGAGGAAGGTCCTATTACTGTATAATTTGATAACCCAATATTGAAGTTGAAACTTGAGGCCAATTGATGCATTGCACGTATATCTTATATATTTATATAAAGCTTAGCTTGAGCGCATGCAGTTGCAGTATCAAATTTCAAACAGAAATTTTTATAAACCCTTTGTGTGTGTGTATATATATATATATATATATATATATATATATATATATATAATCTATTTAACTTGACTGTAAAATTAAAATTCTTAATTTTATTTTTTGGCTTTATTACTTTATCTTATATCTTATAATTTAAAAGATGTTCAAAATCTCATTTATTATACCAAATAATTATTATTTATAAATTCTTAAAACTAAGAAATTTATCATAAATTTTAAATTATAATCCTGTGAGCTTAATAAAATTAAATTAATTTTTTTTAGAGTTTTCAACGAAACTCTATTTCCAGTAAGTATCAAATGTTTTTTCTTTTTTTGGGTACAAGAGACCCGAAGCCTAAGGACTTTAGGAAAAGATAAATTACAATTGTATATTTTTTGACTACTTATAAATTATAATTGTACGGTTATAAATAGTTATCCTTAATTTATGTTCTCTTCATAATTTGAAATATTTATGTTATTACAATTTGTATAGTGTGAATTGTGTTAATTAAAATATTGAATTAATTATTTTGAAATGAGTTTAAGTAAATACATGAAGTTTTTATTGACATTACTTCAGGGGCGTGTTCCTCGAGGAACCTATGCAGAAACTTGTTTTTGAGTAAATTATGAAGGAGTTTCCTTTGAGTAAATTTTGGTATGTTCAAAGTCATCATCTCGAGTCATAAAAAAGTTTGGAAAAAATGGCATCATGTCTGTGGAAATAAATATGGCAGACGCAAAAGGACTTTAACTTTTGGAATCCCACTCTAGTAAGAAGATAGAAAATATCCGGAGCAGAGGGTAAACGTGTGGAAGAAGGTCCTATTACTGTATAATTGGATAACCCAATATTGAAGTTGAAACTTGAGGCCAATTGATGCGTTGCCACGTATATCTTATGTATTTATATAAAGCTTAGCTTGAGTGCATGCAGTTGTAGCATCAAATTTCGGGCAGAAATTAATGGCTCGGTGTAAGTTGGGCTGGTGCGTTCATAGTCATCATCTCGAGTCAATGATAATATTGTAAAAAAGTTGAAAAAGATGGCATCGTGTCTGTGGAAATGAATGTAGCAGACATGAACTAAAATGAAAGCAATAAATATGACAGACGAAAGGACTTCTAATTTGTCTTTGGATGTCCTTAAAATCTGAAAAGGAAGACTTTTGGAATCCCACCATAAATACTAAGAAGAAACAAAATATCCGGAGCAGAGGACAAACGTGTGAAGCAAGGTCGGATTACTGTAATTTTTTGAGGCTTGACGCCAATTGATGCATCGCACGTATATCTTATGTTTTTATATAAACCTTAGCTTGAGTGCATTCGTGCAGTAGCAGCATCAGATTTCAAAACAGAAATCAATGGCTATGTGTAAGTTGTTTTTATTATTGTTGTTGGTCCAATTCCATGAGCACCAAGCTTGCCTATGAAGAGGAGAGGAGGAGTCCTATTTGAAAATCAAGGCATACTTCCAATCAAATGGGTATGCAGGCTATTTCTTCGACCTTCATGGGGTGAAGATGATCCAGAATGTTGCCCGCTGGGAGAGTGTCAAGTGCGCTAACACCACGGGTCATGTCATTGAACTTTCTCTTGGCAATGTAGGCGAAGTATTTATGGAGAACCCTTACCATCTATGCTTAACCAATCTATATTCCAACCATTTAAGGAGTTAAGGATTCTCAATTTAGTTGGTATGGGATTAATCTGATTCAGAAGGAAGGTATGCTGCTAAATGCTATATAACATAGATCCTGCTGAATGAATGTGTACATTAATTAACAAATTGCTACAATTTCATTGTATTTTTTAAATTTATTTGACTAGTTAATTTGCTAATTGTAATTATACATATATATTATTTATTACAGGTTTAAATGGTTTGTTGAGACTACAAAAACTTGAGACTTTGGATCTTTCTGGTAACTACTTTTCAAATAACTCTTTGCAGTCCTTAAGTGCTCTCACATCTCTTAAAAATTGATTTTAAGTAACACTCGCATGGGAGGATCCTTTCCTATCCAAGGTACATCTAATATTTGTTATTAATATCATATTAAGTATTAATTTGTTTTGATTTTTAGTTTAGTTAAATTAAGATTTTTTAATACTTTGTAACAGAGTTACTAAATAATATTAAATAATAATTTTTTGATATGTATTGTATTTATAAAAAAAACTGGTATATTTAAATAATTAACAAATTTTAACATAAATAATATAATTAAGGTATTTTAAAGCCATATATATATATCATATAGTTATTGGAATATATTAATTTCTTTCATATAAATGCCTAGACTCCTGCATATACTACGTACATGTTTACTTAGTTATTTTAAAGTGTTAGTCAAATACTTATGAATAAAAAGTATAGTCAAAGATTTAATATAATTTTGTAATTTTTTAACAATAAACCTGTCATTTTTTATTTTATTATTAATTACAAAATTTAACATAAATAATATATTTAAAGTATTTTTAAGACATGTTTAGTATATTTCTTGCATTTATTAACTTTTTTCATATAAACGCCTACATATCCACATATGCTACATAAATGTTTAATGGATAAAACTTACATGAAGTTTAATAGGTGGAGTTTGTGAAGTTTCTTATCAAAAAAATAAAAAATAAAAATTTTAATAAAAAATCCGAACTAATAAATTAATAAAGCTCAATGTAACATATATCCTGCTGAATGAATATGTGTACATTAATTAATAAATTGCTACAATTGCATAGTTTTTTTAAAATTTCTTTGACTAGTTAATTTGATAATTGTAATTATACATATATATAATTACAGGTTCAAATGGCTTGTTGAGACTGCAAAAGCTTGAGACTTTAGATCTTTCTGGTAACTACTTTTCAAATAACTCTTTGCAGTCCTTAAGTACACTCACGTCTCTTAAAAAATTGATTCTATCTGACAATGACATAGAAGGACCCTTTCCTGTCCAAGGTACGTCTAATATTTGTTATTAATATCATATTAAGTATTAATTTATTTTGATTTTTAGTGTAGTTAAATTAAGATTTTTTTAATATAATATAATAGAGTTACTAAATAATATTAAATAATAATTTTTTGATATTTATTGTATTTAAAAAATGGTATATTTAAATAATTAACAAAATTTAACATAAATAATATTTTTAAAGTTTTTTAAAGTGATATATATAATATAGTTATTGGAATATATTAATTTCTTTCAAATAAACGCCTAGACACTCACATATGCTACGTACATGTTTAGTTAGTTATTTTAAACTGTTAGTCAAATATTTATGAATAAAAAGTGTAGTCAGATTTATTGTAATTTTATAATTTTTTAACAATAAACTCGTCATATTTATGTTTTAGTATTAATTACAAAAGTTAACATAAATAATATATTTAAAGTATTTTTAAGACATATATTTAGTATGTTTCTTGCATTTATTAACTTTTTTCATATAAGCGCCTATACATCCACATATACTACACAAATGTTTAATGGATAAAACTTACATGAAGTTTAATAGGTGGAGTTCGTGAAGTTTCTTATCATAAATAAATAAATAAAAATTTACTAAAAAATCTAAATTGATAAATTAATAGAGTTCAATGTAAAAATTATTAATATATAAAAAAATTATTAAAAATATTATTTATAATTTAAATTTGATTGATATTTATTCAATGATAAAATTTTTATCAATATTTTTATTAAAATATTTATTTAATAAATATATCAAATTTTATTAAATCTTTTTTCAAATTTTACATGTTTGATCTATGTGATGATATCTTTCAATTTATCAATTTTGATTTTTAATTTTAGTTTTTGTTTACTTATTTCTAATAAAAAACCTCATGAACTCTACCTATAAAATTTTATGTAGGTATTTCTCCATGTTTAATTAGTTATTTTAAAGTGTTAGTCAAATACTTATGAAAAGCAAGTATAGTCAAATATTTAATATAATTTTCTAATTTTCTTATAATAATTTTTAAAATTTTTATTTTAGTATTAATTAGAAAAGAGTTAAGAACAATATGGCACGTACAATACCCACATATCAAAAGTCTTAAAAATAATTAAAAAAAGATAACATGAGCAACAACTTCAAGCTTGTAATAAACTCCAATGTTTTTAAAAACATTATTTTATTTTTATTTTTTTCAATAAAAATTTTACCAAATCATTTATTTTTTGTTATTGTTACTTAAAAGGAGAAGAAAGTCCGGTTTGAAATTCAAATTCAATGTTGTTTTTGAAATGTTAATTTTTGTTGTGTAATTGAGTATTATTTTCGTGGCAGGATTATCTTGTTTTTGGACCAAACTTAGAGTTTTTGGAATCCTGAGCAACAATTGGCTAGGAGGCTCTCTAACGAATCGCAGGGTAACCTCTATAAAAGTCTGAATTTTTCATTTTCGTACAGTTGATTTTTTCTCTTCAATGCTCTATTTTTTATCCTTTTCCTTTCTCTAAATTATTCCAAATAAAGTACGGTATGATGATAGTTGAGTGTTGACAATTATTCTTTACAATTTCTTTGATTTAAAATGGGTTATCTAAACTAAGAAAGTTGGGAGTAACTTGGATCTGAGTTCTATAGATTCACAAAGATATTATAAGATTATTGGAATTTCTACCATCCCTCAAATCTCTCTATCTTTCTGAAAATGGCATGGAAGGGTCCCTTTGTGTATATGCAGTTCCAAAAAAATTTATTCTATAACAAAGACAAATCTCTCTTGTATAACAAAAAAACAAGGTAAAGATTACAAAGGATTTGAAAACCTAAATTGTTTCCAAAGCTTAACATTAGCACAAAATAAGGTGAGTTCCAAAACCTCTCCCAAGACGTCGAAATTGTTTCACCTCAAAGTCTCTCATAGGTCACAGCCTCCTCTATGCTACCATGGCTTGTTGTATGCTTGAGTCGTTGTTCCCAAGGTCATCTTTGTTTTTATTTTGCTTTGCTGAGTTTGATCTTTCTACTTAAGGAAGATAGGTTTGCAGACTTTGGCTTTGGATTTATTCATTAAAAGTTTTACGTAATTTTTCCTCTTTTTTTTTTTTTGCTTGAACATCATTTGCTAGTGAAAATATGAATTTGAGAAAGGATTAAACATTCATTTAGCTCCTGTGCTGTACATTTTCTAATCATTTACTATTTAAAAAATAAAAAATTGTAATTAAATATTTGAACTTGCATTTCATTAAACATTTTGATCGTGGGACTATTTTTGTTAATTAAGCAACTATCATAGACAAAATATTTAATAAAATCCGAATACATGTAAAAAAAATGTTTTGTTATTACCAAATTATCCATTGCTATGTCAACAAAAAATAAAAAAGATAAAATTTAAAATTTCTAAAAAATATGAAAAATTTTACAAAAAAATTTCAAAAAGTCAAAAACAAATAACTAAACATTTGGATTTAAAGAAAAAGTTAAAATTTGAATAAATACCAAAAAATAAAAAATGATTTTAAAAAAATAAAATCTTTGATTTATAAAAATCTAATATACTACATTGATTAGGACAATCAAAGCTGATCTACACTAGGTACCGAATCGACTCTATCGGCCTCGTGCCTCTTCTCCCTCTTTTCTCTCTCTTCCCATTCAATGCTTCCTCTCTCTCATCCATTCTTTCCCTCTTTTCTTTTCTTTTTTTTTGTTTTGAATTTTTTTAATTTTGTATTAAAAAAATCAAGTTTTAATTTTTTAAAAAAAAAATTTCAATATTTTAAATATTTAAGAAATTTATAAATTTTTTCAAAGCAATTTTGAATTTTAATAAAAAATCATGTTTTTTTAATTTTTAATAAAAATTTTAGATTTTAAATTTTTTGGATATTTTAAATGATTAAGTAAAAATTCAAATTTTTTTTCTAAAAAATTCAAATTTTATTTCTAAAACTTAATTTACTAATAAAGAAAGAAAATTGTCTAAGGATGGATATATATATATATATATATGTCGTTTGACATGTAACCAACGAAAATAGATAAAAATTTTGGAATTTCAAATATGATTTGGACATTTTTCTACATGTCTTTTATAAATATTTTATTTCTTGATAATAATTAATATTGTTACAAATTGAATGATCAAAAAATTTTCACACGTAAATGTATGTCTATGCACGTTGCTAAAAGACTCTACAATGTTTTTTTTGATACATGACATTATGTAAAGTTGCTTAAATGCATAATGGTTGCTAAATTTTTGTAAAAATAAAATTTTTATTATAAAAATTTTTTAATCCTATAAAAAATTATTAATGTTGTAAATTATTTTTAAATTACAATAAAATATTTAATGTGATATTTAAATTATAAATATATTAATTAATATGATATTTAAAAGTGTTTAATTTTGTCTGCGTTAGCTACATAATTTAGACTAATTACATTAAAAATGGGTATCCATTAATTAATAAATTTATAACTTTAAAGTATCTCATTTAAAATTTTTTAAAATTTAAATATTAAATTAAATTTCACAATATATTCCAACCATTAGAGTTAGTGATTTTCAATTTAAGTTTCGAATTGGATTTAATATGATTCAAAAGAGGAAGGTATGGCTGCCAAGAATGCTATACTAACATATACTGCTACTGAATGAATATTATGTACACTGAATTAATAAATTGCTACAATTTAAATAGTTACTTTTGAAATTTTTTGCGAGCTACTTAATTTGATAATTGTAATTATGCATATATATAATTACAGGTTCTAATGGCTTGTTGAGACTGCATAAGCTTGAGACTTTGGATCTTTCTGGTAACAATTTTTCAAATAACTCTTTGCGGTCCTTAAGTGCTCTCACATCTCTTAAAAAATTGATTCTAAGGAACAATGACATGGAAGGATCCTTTCCTGTCCAAGGTACGTCTAGTATTTGTTATTAATATCATATTAAGTATTAATTTGTTTTGATTTTTAGTGTGGTTAAATTAAGATTTTTTTAATAGTTATAACAGAGTTACTAAATGATATTAAATAATAATTTTTTATATGTATCAAATTTTTTTAAAAAATTAACAAAATTTAACATAAATAATATATTTAAAGTATTTTAAAGCCATATATATATAATATAGTTATTGCAATATATTAATTTCTTTCATAGAAACGCCTAGACTATCACATATATTACGTACATATTTAATTAGTTGTTTTAAAGTGTTAGTCAAATACTTATGAAAAAAAAGTGTAGTCAAAGATTTAATATAATTTTACAATTTTCTAACAATAAACTCGTTATATTTTTATTTTAGTATTAATTACAAAATAAGTTAAGAGCGATATTTTGCATAAAACACCCACATATCAAAAGTCTTAAAAATAATTAAAAAAGACTGTGAGCAACAGCTTCATGCGTGCAATAAACTCCAATGTATTTAAAAGCATTATTTTTATTTTTATTTTTTAAAATAAAAAAATTACCAAATGCATTTTTTTTTTTGGTTATTGTTACTGAAAGGAGAAAAAAGTCTGATTTGCAATTCAATTGAAATGTTGTTTCGAATGTAATTCTTGTTGGTTGTTGAGTGTCATTTTCGTGCAGAATTATCTGTTTTTGAAAACTTGGAGTTTTTGGATCTTAGTTTCAACAACTTAGAAGGTCCCCCAGCAACGCAGGGTAGTCTCTAAACAAGTTTGAATTTTCCATTTACCTTAGTTGGTTTTTTCTCTTCAATGCTCTATTATTTCTACCTTTTATTTTTTAATTATTCAAATAAAGTATGGTATGATGATAGTTGAGTGTTGACAATCATTCTTTACAATTTCTCAGATTTAAAAAAGTTATCTAAACTAAGAAAGCTGGAGCACTTGGATCTGAGTTTCAACAGATTCAACAAAAATATTATGAGGTCATTGGAATCTCTGCCATCCCTTAAATTTCTCGATCTTTCTAGTAATCGTATGGAAGGGTCCCTCTCTGACCAAGGTATGTATATGCAGTTCCACAGAAATTTATTCTACAACAAAAACAAATCTCTTGTATAACAAAAAAAGCAAGGTAAAGATTACAATGGATTTGAAAACCTAAATTGTTTCCAAAGCTTAAGATTAAGCACAAAATAAGGTGAATTCCAAAACCTCTCCCAAGTTCTCGAAATTGTTTCACCCCAAAGTCTCTCATAGGTCACAGCCTGCTCCTCCATTCTACCATGGCTTGTTGTATGTTTGAGTTGTTATTCCCAAGGTCATCTTTGTTTCTATTCTACTTTGCTGAGTTTGATCTTCCTAGTTAAGGAAGATAGGTTTGCAGACTTTGGCTTTGGTTTTATTCATCAAAATTTTTACGTAAATTTTTTTTTTGTTGAACATCATTTGCTACTGAAAATATGAATTTGAGAAAGGATTAAATATTCATTTGGCTTAAACACTATACATTTTTTTAATTTAATATTTATGGAATAAAAATCATAATTAAATATCTGAACTTACATTTCATTGAACACTTTAGTTTTAGGGACTATTTTCGTTAATTAGGTAGTTGTTTGGACAAAACATATAATAAATTCCTAACACATGTAATAAAGTTCAATAATCGTCATATTATTCATTGTTACATCAACAAAAAATAAAAAATGAAAGATTAATTTGAAATTGCTACAAATGTTTTAAAAAATACAAAAAGTTTTATAAAAAGTTTCAAAAAATTCAAAACAAAAATTAAATATTTTGATTTAAATAAAAAAAAAAGTTAAATTTTGAATAAATACAAAAAAAATAAAAATTTTAATAGATAAAAATCTAGAAGAAATGAGTCAGATCAACACTAATCCAAGGCAAATCGAGCCCGATTTGCCCCAAGCTAGCCAATCGACTCTAACGGCCACCTACCCCCTCCCCGCTCCCTTCTCTCTCTTTCCTTTCAATCCTTCCTCTTTGTCCCCGATTCTTTCCCTTTCTCTTTTTTTTTTTTGGTTGAATTTTCTCTTTTAGTGTTGCATTAAAATCAATTTTTAATATTTAAAAAAGTTTAAAATATTTAAAATATTTAAAATATTTATAAATTTTTTAAAAGTAATTTTGAATTTTAATAAAAAATCATATTTTTTAATAAAAATTTTTAGATTTTAGATTTTATTTATATTTAAATGGTAAAGTAAAAAATTCAAATCTTTTTCTAAAACCTAATCTACTAATTTAGTAAAAATGAAAGTTGTTTACAAATAGTTATTATAAAAAAAAAAAAAGTTGTCTACGGACATGGACATATATAGGTCATTTGAAACGTAACTAATGATAACGGATAAAAATTTTGAAATTTTTAAATACGATTTGAGTATTCGACATGTTTTATAAATATTTTGTTCTTTGAAAGTAAATAATATTATTGCAAATTGTATGATAAAAAAATTTTGACACTTGAAAGCATGGCTATGCACATCGCTAAAAAACTATGCAATGTTTCCTTTGATACATGATATTATGCAAAGTTGCTTAAATGCATAGTGGAAGTTAATTTTTTTGTAAAAGTAAAGTTATTTTCGTTATAAAAAATATTTTTTTCAATCTTATAGAAAATAGTTAATGTAATAAATTATCCTTAAATTATAATGAATATTGAATTTAATATTTAAATTATAAATCTATTAATTAATATAATACTTGTAGCGTTATTTGTCTATTAATTAATGTATCAACATTTAAAACTAATTATTTTAGAAATAAATATCATATTAATTAATAGATTTATAATTTAGGTAACTTATTAAAAATTTTTAAAATTTAAATACTAAATTAAATATTTTATTATAATTTAAAATTTATTTATTACATTAATCTTATAAAAAAATATTTTAAGAAATTGTGTTTTGCAAAAGAATCATTTGGCTTATTTAAAAAATGAAATGGGGAAAACAAGCAAGTCCAAGGAACCATGTGGTTCCTACTCTAATTGCTCTCACCTCCTTCAACATTTTCTTTCTTCTCTTTCACCTATTCTCTCTCTTACGTATTTATAGACTTGGTTCGGTGACTCCCAATGTAGTGAGGAGTCACTCGTGCCGCATCAGTGAGGGCCAAAATGCCATTCATACTTATCATTTTCATTGGTTTTGTCCTCTATTAGAACTGCTTCACGACATAATTGACCGCTCACTGCAATGAGTTAGTTATCTACTTGAATTTGTAAAAGAAAAGCAAAATTCTCGAAAATGCAAATTAAGACACCTGCCATGCTCTCAAGAATTAACTGGGAGCGGTTAGGTAGGGATACTCTATTGTGCGTGTATTGTACTCCTGTGCACCTTTCTTTTATACGTTATAGATTTTTGAAATTTTGAAGGTTTAGTTGTAGTTGTAGGCAGATCCTTTTTAAGTGTTTCCAATATCATTATTTATTTTTGTTTATTTGGTGACAGATTTGAAGTCTTCAACAAAACTGGAGATATTAGATTTGAGTTTTAATAATTTGGTTGGGAATGTTCCTTCTACAGTAAGGGAACTGGCTTCGCTTAAGGTATTATCTTTGGCAGAGAATGGTTTTAATGGCTCTTTACCAATTCCAGGTAATACTTTCAGTTTGGTGCAAAAAGAATAAAAAAGGCTTAAATATATATACTAAAAGGCATGTACCGGATATATATATATATATAGCGATTAAATTGTTTTTTTTTTTTTTTTGCAAAAACAACAAACTTTAATTAGCATTGAATTATATATAATGTTTTCATGTAAATATTCCTCTAAATTTCTTCCTTTGCCAGGTATATGTGAACTAAATAGACTTCAAGAGTTGGATCTTAACGGTAATAGTTTTGAGGGAATCATTCCTCAATGCCTAAACAATATGACTTCTCTTCGTCTCATTAATCTTGAAGGCAACCATTTTGAAGGCTCATTCAAATTTAGCTTATTTATGAATCACTCCAAGCTTAAGACACTCGTGCTTACTTGTGATGGTGACAAATTGAAGATAGATACGGAACATCTACATCAAAGCCCATTGTTTCAGTTAGAGATGTTAAAACTCTCTAACTGTAATCTGAAAAATATTTCTCAACTTCTCCTTTACCAGTATCGATTAGAAGCAATTGATCTCTCTCACAATAACTTGAGAGGTATGTTCCCTACTTGGTTAGTTGAAAAAAACACTGAGTTAAAACTTTTAAATCTAAGGGAGAACTCTCTTTCTGGTCAATTTCATCTCCCAGCAAATTCTATGAGAGATATTCAATTTGTTGACGTCTCCAGCAATCATTTCAGTGGGCAACTTCAAGATGATTTCGGAAAAATATTATCAAATGCAATGTGGATTAATTTGTCCAATAATCATTTTGAAGGTTATCTCCCATCCTCAATTTATGTCGCAAGCAAGTTAGAGGTATTGGATTTGTCCTCTAACAATTTCTCAGGAAAAGTACCTAAGGAGTTACTTAGATGGTGCACCAACTTGAGACTCTTGTGGTTATCACATAATAAATTTCATGGTGAAATATTTTCTTCCCATTTTAATTTGAGTAAGCTATTGTATCTCGAGTTGAGAAACAATCAGTTCACAGGTGGTCTATATCTACCCAACAATGTTAAACTTTCGTCATTAGAAGTTTTTGATATCAGCAACAATCGAATGGAAGGTGAAATTCCTAGTTGGATTGGTAATTGGACAAGGTTACGAATACTTTCTCTGAACAGCAATTTATTTGAAGGCCAGTTTCCTTGTAAAGAGATGCTTTTATCAGTCGAATACTTGGACCTTTCTCACAACGTTCTCAGGGGACCCTTACCTTATTGCTTTAATCAGAATTCTTTAAAGCAACTTAATTTGGAAGGGAACCAATTCTGGGGATCAATGCCAAGTGAACTTTTCAATTTCTCGACTCTGAAGGTGTTGAATCTTAGAGATAACAACTTGTCTGGTAGTATTCCCCACAATATTAGTGGAAACCTCCCTAGCTTGAAAGTCCTTTCATTAGGGAATAACTATCTACAGGGTTTAATTCCGGAGTTGTTCTGTCAATTGACAAATATAAACACTCTGGATCTTTCCAACAACTATTTCTCTGGGTCAGTACCTCAATGTTTCTATAATATCTTCTTTGGGAAGATCGATGCAAAAAGAGCTATCAGCAATTCACCAGAATATACTAGTGATATCGTTTTTCTCCTACTGGATGAGATATATGATAATCTCATAGATTCTATCTATGATGAGCCTGACCCGTCTTACTCTCCCAGAATACAATTTGAGCTTGATTTTGTCACCAGAATACAATTTGGGTTTGATTTTGTCACTAAAAATAGGTTGGACGTTTACAAGGCGGACTTTTTATATTGGATGTCCGGACTTGACTTGTCATGCAACAATCTAACAGGGAATATCCCAGTAGCATTGGGGAACCTATCCTTAATTCATGCATTGAACTTGTCTCACAATCGATTAATGGGACCCATTCCAATTTCTCTTTCAAAGCTTGTTGAAGTAGAAAGTTTGGACCTTTCCTACAACTATTTGAGTGGGGAAATCCCATCGGAGCTGACCAACCTTGTGCGTTTGGGAGTCTTCAATGTGTCACACAATAATCTATCCGGTGAAATTCCTTTCACAAAGCAATTTTCAACATTTGAAGAGAATAGTTACGAGGAAAATCCATTGCTTTGTGGACCGCCATTAGATAAAAGCTGCCCCACACCATACTCGCCAATTGTTCCTTCAGATGAAACACAAGGGAAATGGTTTGAAATTGATTTTATTGCCTTCTACGCAAGCTTTGGTGCAACATATTTCATGTTCTTGTTGGGTTTCGTGACTGTTCTCCTCATTAATCCTTTTTGGCGAAGAAAATGGTTCCATTTCATCGAGAATTTCCTCTATTCTAGCTATTATTTTGCTTATTATACTCTAGGCAAATTGTCAGGCAAATTGTGGAATTAGCTATCTTTTTCATGCCCATCAATTGTGTTTGTAATTTCCATAAATACTTGTCACTTGTCATGACTCTTAGAGTCTTTGTTTAAGCTTACAAATAATGGGCATTGTATAGTATGATAATCTTGTATTATGTTTATTTTGTACCTAATTAAAAGGGATAAGAATAAAGAGAATTATCCTCTTTTTGGTATAGGATGATTAAATCATCCAAAAATAGAAAGAATGATTTTTAATTCATAAAATTAAATTTACATGTTTTATTATACTCTTAAAAATTATATCAATAATTTAAATTATATAAACTTTAAAAAATGATAATTTTGACCAATAAATAAATTATCCTATCATATTACAAATAATGGTTTCATCCTGTTACAAATATATAATAAGGTCATATTTAGTATATAAGATGCTAGATATAATAGTATAATAATTATCTTATATTATATTAGATTTATATCTAATTAAAAGAAATATGATTATAAGAAGGATTATCATCCTCTTAATAGAAGACGATTCAATCCTCTGAAAGTAGATAAGATTATTTTTAATCAATAAGATTAAACTTACATATCCTATTATATTTTAAAAAATTATATTAATAATTTAAATTATATAAACGTTAAAGAAGGATAACTTTGACAAATAATCATTGCACATATAAAATAGGATAACATTATTTAATCTAATTATAATCATAATATCATTTTACCATATTCTATTTTAATTTTGTATACCCAAAATTTGTTTCCTCTCCAATTCTATCTCCTACCTCTACCTATTGAAAATCAACGATTTACATTTTTTCTTCTTTTGGGCGGTTTCAATATATAATAGGTCTCATTCCCTCCCTTTTATATTAAATAAATTTTAGCTTATAATTTTCCTTGTATAACCAGACTCTTCTACCTATTGAAAATCATTTTTTGGGGGCTTCCTTACTTCATGGCAATGGCATTTGATTTTTAACTACAAAAAAGCATGGGAAATTGTATACGAAATTCCTTAAATAAGATTCATAAAGTTTTTTATTAAAAATTATTCAATAAAATCAAAATCAAAATTAATATCAGTGGATTGATAAAATTCAATAAAAAAATCAGTATTATGTAAAAAAATATTAAAAATATAGTTTATAATTCAAAATTATCAAGTATTTAGTCATTGGTAAAAATTTTGTTAAATTTTTTACTAAAAATATTTATCTAAAAATTTATCGAATTTTTTTTTCAAGATTTGCATAATTAATCAATGTATTAAGACTTTTTAATTCATCAATTTTAATTTTAAATTTGAATTTTTATTAAATCATGTTTAGTAAAAAAAATTTCAAAAACTTTATTTAAAAAATTCCACTTAAATCTTCTGGTTAAAAAATTGAAGGAGGAAGGCCAGGGGATGAGCCAACCTCAAAAAATTACTAATGATCGGTACTGGCGCACTAGTTTTGAGGAAAAAAAAAAGCTTGATATTTGAGAGCTAAAGAAATTATTACCATAAATAATATAATAACTTTAATATGCACAGATTTTTTGTTATATTTTTTATAATTTTAATTTTTTATTCATTTTAATTTTTATATTGCTAATAAAAGAATATATATTCTAATTTTTGTATTTGTAAAGAAAATAATTTATCATACCTTGATTCTAAAATTTTTATTTTAAAAATGCATATATGTATAACCTGTTTGATAAAAAAAAAGAAAAAGAAAAAACATTTAAAGTGTTTGATTCATGAATTATGAATTATCTAAAGTGGTTTGAGAAAATATGTAGAGTATAAAAATATTTTTACATGATATAAATGAAAAAAAAATCTAAAGTGGTAGATAAAACCGTTTGATTTATGAATTATCTTACAATAATCTTTAAAATATTGAAGTATATAACTATAAATTATAAACCAATGGTAATAATATATGATACAATCAAATTAAATATCTTTTGAATCGTTTATCCTAAATAGAAATAAAAAAAATAATATTTTTATCTTTGTTACCTCATCAATAGACCCAAAATAATTATTCACTGATCAAAGCAAGCAAAAAGATAAGCATTCCTCTAGGAATGATAGTACTTATTTTATCATAACCAAATTATATAATCTCAAGAACTAATTCCTAAAAAAGCAAACTATTTTGGAAATATACGAAAAATGTGAAAAGAAAAAATATATATATTTTTTATAATGGGTTAAAATGAGAAAAAAATCACCTAGAATCTAAAAAATGCAATTTAAAAAAAAGATTTTTAAAAAGTTATATTTTCTTATAAATTTCCAAAAAACAGAAGAATTTTAATAAAAATCTATGAGCGGATCACCACTCTATGATAATTGATCAAAATTTTTGAACAAAATATGAAAAAAAAAGTTAATTAGTAAATGTGTTTTAAAAGAAAAATAAATTGAAATAAATATTAAATTTTTATAAGAATAAAATTATAAAAGCAATAGTGTACCTTTCAAAGAAAAATTGTAAATTGAAAAAATATTAACGATGTAACACATACCGTTTATAGGTTCATTGCATGACAATTAAAGTGTACAGATAATTTTCAAATTGATAAATATATTTTGAATTTTAAAAAATATAATAAGTGATATTTATGTTTTTAAATTTTAAAACATTTTAAAAATTAGTGAATATAAAAAATTAATGAAGGTAAAAATCTAATTTTGAAATTTTAAAATTAAAAAAAATAAGATATATCTACATAGCTAATAAAATCTGAATTAAATAAAATTAACTTTTAAATTTTTAAATTTATATTATAATTTGGTTTTATTTTAAATATATAATTTTATCTATTTAATTATTTTAAATTTAAATTAGCCCAAAGAAATATTGATAACGTAAAACCAACACTTAAAAATTTAAAATCAAGATATGCTGTAAAAAAAATAGCTAAAATTAGAACAATACTTGCAGTAAAATATAATAGAGAATTAATTATAGATAATATAATAAATTTTATTTTATATATGAATTGATCTTCCATTTGAAAGTTTTTGATAACTAAATAATTTTTCAAATATATAATTTTATAAATAATCTAAAATTAAAAAATATCTTATGTGACAATATAAAAATAAATTTAAGAATTTTTCTATACGTTGAAAAGAGAAAAGCTGTTTACATAAACGTTCACATCAATAAATCTTATCTAATAACTATATTCTTGTAATATAATATTATATATGATACATAATTGCAAAATTAAATGCTATAAATAAGCAGACTGTTGACTTTATTTAATAGTTAAAAATAAAATCACCTACTAAGATTGTTGGAACGTTCCACAATCTAACTTCTTACATTTTGCACTTTACTAGAGCTTATGTACTAGCATCTTTTAATATTAAATCATCCCCAAAGGGCACTTTCCAAACATCTTTTAATATTGTTCTGTCAAATGTTGAACTTACATCTCTTATCTCATTTTGGTTGCAGAAATGCATAGCACTTAGCAGACACATGAATGGGTATAAATATATATATCAAGAGTGGCTCATAATGTCGTAGATGTGGTGGAAGAGGTAGCATTTGGGAATTTCCATTCGATAGCATTGGAAATTACCTTGGCTTCTCTATCTCTGAAAAAAGAAGTGCAGCCAAGTATAGATTCATCGTTGACAAAGTTAAGAAAAAGTTATCGAGATGGAAAGCTAACCTCTTTTCTTTTGCTGGTAGAAATACCCTCCTCAAGTTTGTGGTTAACGCCATCCCCATGTACTACATGCAAAGAGCGGATCTCCTTGTCTTGTCTGTGAGGAGATTAACAGAGTTAGTAGAAACTTTCTCTGGGGCTCCACTGATAATCATAAGAAAATGCATATGGTTAGCTGGAATGCTGCTACTATACAGAAAGAAGGAGGAGGTCTTAGCCTTAAGGATATGAGGTAGGTTAGTGATGCCGATATGGCCTAATTAGGGTGGCGCTTTGTCACTGAAACTGAGAGTATTTGGGCCAAGGTTCTTAAAGCAAAATACACCAGAGATGGTGAGTTCATTAGAAAGGCCTGCTTGCCCATTAGGGCTGGTATGCGCAAAGGTGCACCGATCCTTGAACGTGGTATCAGAATGGGGAGCCCAAGCCTTGTTCTGGTCAGATGACTGAGTTGGCCTTAGTCCGCTAAATACAAAAATCTTTGGCCTTTGGCACCCCCACGATGAAACCCCTGTTGCCAAGGACTTTGTCTCCTCTGAAGTGTGCTGGGATTTCTCATGTGCAAGCGCTCCTATTCCTGACGAGATTGTTGATAAGCTTACTGTTATCCCTGTTCAAATGGAAAATACTAAGGAGGATATTGTTGGCTAGAAATTTTCCCGAACAGGCCTCTTCTCTATCAAGTCGGCTCATAACATGCTTAAAGGATGCATTGATGGCATGAAGAAGGAATGGAAAGATATTTGGAGAATTCCTTCTCTTCCCAAGATCCAACACTTCATTTGGCTCTGCGATCACCAAAAAATTGCCATTCGTGATACAATGTGTAAGCAGGGACTGCAAGTCAGGCCTCTTTGCCCGAGATGTAATAGGGAAAGAGAAACTATTGATCACTGCCTCAGAGATTTCCCTAGCACTAGAGATCTCTGGAATACTCTTACCATTCCCCAAGACATTCTCTCATCTTTCAGTATGGACTTTGAGTGCTAACTTTTCAGAAATTGCAATTTCATGGTTGATTTGGACATATCCAATATTCCTTGGAAAGTTGTTTTCTCCTTCGCTGTTTGAATGATTTGGCTCAGAAGGAACAAATTGGTTTTCCGTATGACTTCTAAAACACCTGATGGGTGGAAAAATAACCTGATTATTCGGGTTAAGGAGTTTTGGACTATTCGTGGCTCTGTCAACCGTCCTAAGACTTCTTGTGAAATTAATATTGGTTGGCAACCTCCTCCTCTGAAAGCCATCAAACACAATACCGATGGATCTACTAAGGGCAACCCTGGTAAAGCCGGGGCGGGAGGTGTATTTAGAGATTGGCTTGGCAAC